AAATTTCTTTACTGAAAGAGTGGTTAAACATTGGAACAGGCTGCCCAGGGAAGTGGGTGAGGCCCCATCCCTGGAGGCATTTAAAAGACGTGTAGATGAGGCGCTTCGGGACATGGTTTAGTGGGCATGGTGGTGTTGGGTTGACGGTTGGACTCGATGATCTTAGAGGTCTTTTCCAACCTTAATGATTCTATGATTCTATGATCTATGAAAAATGTTGAGTGATGAAAGAGAAGAGCTGTCACAGATAGGAACCTGCAGTGATTCACGTCTCTTTAGTAACTCTTAGGCTAAGCTGGATCACTGTCTAAACGAACTCCCCTTTTTCCATTGATTGTAGAAAGAACCAAGACAACTAAAGTGCAATTTAGTTGCCCACACATAAGCATAAAAGTACAATCTGAGATGCCACTTGACCTCTCAGACATCCCTGCAGGGCTGTTAGACGTGACAGGACTCATAGTCCTGGTGCAGCAGCTGAAGGCCTGCTGGATACCCTTGGATGCCTCAAATCGGACCAGACAGCTGTGGGTGGGCAACAAAGCTGAATCCACAGTCAGTGCATCCACTTGATGTAATGTAGGTGTCTACTGTAGAGTGATCTGAAGGCTAGGCTTGCGTGATTATATTGACTAGACTCCGTTCTTTATAGAGACACCCACACTGAAAACAAGGAATGTGTTACTTTGTGAGTTGAATCTCATCCCCTATGCCTACTTCCAGATGCCTTAAGCTCTTCAAAACGAATTGTGGTGATGGTACCTTACAAATGCATCACAATATATACTTTCACCAGTGGAAAACACTGTTATTTTACATAATTGTTATCTCTTTGCTTGTATGAAAACTGAAAAATATGTAAGTCATCAGTGTTTTAACATGACTATGTTCCCACAAACAAAATGGAAGGTGTGGCCATTGAGCAATCACTTAGCAAAGGGTGGTATGTGTAAACAGACTGCAAACGGATGTTTGCAGAAAACTTCCTTGGAATCTGACCTAGCAGCTGCCAACACTAGATGAAATTTCTCATTCTCAGTCCATTGACTAAAAGAGTTTATGAACTGGATAGAACGGGTGGCCTAACCATTGATTCACTTGCAGAGGAGGGCTGACATTAGAGCCGGCTATGAGTTACACTCTGTGTTTCCCTGGATATCACTTTAATGAAGAAGCTATTCCTTAGAGCCTTCTTTTATTCAGGCAAATTATCAAGATTTTCCACCCACCTCAAAGAATGAAGTCTCAGCCCTTTAAAGCAACGCTTCCTGGCCTTTCCAGCTCTAAATTCAGTGTGATCCCGTCCAGTAAGAAGTCTTTGCAACCTCAGCATAGGACATGATTCAGAGCAGGAGGGGCTATATGTCTGCCTGCCTTTGCTGTGGCAAGCAATAGGAGACATCATATTCTTCATGAGTTGAGAAATGCTACCTTAGAGCTACCAGCTCAAGAAAAAGAGCCTTAACACCATTACTAAATCTCAGCTACAGAGCATTAGGTAGTCATTTCTCTTTTTAAATTCCTCTGGTGAGTAGGACTATGTGCTTTTTATGAAATATCCTGTGATACTCTTGAAAAGTGGGTAAACTGGCGTCCAGAATCTAGAGACAACATCTTGATCTGTACTGTACTGGATTTGCATTTGTGTATGTAAACACTTATTTTATGAACCTATGGTGATAAAATCCCCCAGAAGTCTCCATACTTGATAACTGATCCCATCTCAGCAAGTCAGAGACATTTTCACTGAAGTTACTCCACAGTAAAATAACACATGCTTCTTTGGGAAGCATTTCAGGAAAAAATTATGTTTTCTCACTGATTGTGTTTAAAAAACAAGGGAAAATGAAGTGATTTTTTTTCTAGAGTAAATAAACATCCATGTTGTACTTTTTTGCTGATTAATATTTCATGGAGGTATGATCTTCACTGTATTCATTCTATAATAACAATGCATTTTTTTCCAGCTACAGACAGCCGTAGAAAAAATACATTCTCTTGGTGGTGGTGATGCAGGAATCAAGCAATCAACTCTGAAGACGATAGAAGGAAACTTGGTATGAATTATAGTTGAAGAGAGGAAATCAGAAGCTGATACTTAGTTCTCTCCTACTGTGGAGTCCTTTCCTTATGACAAGGATGTATCCCTGTCACTAGTTGTGTGACCAAATTGCTCTGGTTGTACCTTCTCTATGAGCCCAAAAATTAGGGAAGGCACTTGAATGGGTCTGAGAAAACAAGATTCTGTGATCCTGATGGATCTATGGATCTTAATCACTTCAGTTTTTCTCTGAGGATTCTGTTCTTACCAAGTATGTTCTTCTCTTCAAAGGCTGAAAGTCCAGAGGTGAAAGCGTTGCAAGAAAAATTAACCACAGCCAACTTTAAAGTGATGGAGTATCGTAACCAACTCCAATCTGCAAAACAGGAACTGAAGATGACCCAAAAGGTACCGTTGCAGGATGCAGTCAGTGGCTGGGATCCTGTGCAAGAGGTATATTCTTGTGAAATCAGAAGGAGGCTTCTTTTCTTTTGAGCTTTGATTAGCCTCCATGAAGTATTCCAGTGATAAGAAAAGACACAGGCGTAGTGGCTGTATTGGAAAGATATGCACATGGACACACAGATGTCATGCTCTGCCACCATAGCTGGATGACTGTATCCGTTATTTCTATTGCTATGATGGGTACAGATTCTGTAAGGTTTGAAAGTCCCAGTTCAGCAAAATAGGTTTGTGATTGACTTGAAGCATACATTCAGGCCTATTCCTTCTTTCCAAAACATTTAATTATGTATTTACTTTTAATGTAGGCTTCAGTCCCATGGAAGTCAATGAGGTTAAAGGCCATGCTTGAACTAAAGCACATGTTTAAACAGTTTGTTGGAGTGATATCCAGAGTAACCTTTTCCTCTTTGATTCATGATGGATTTTAATGTGTTACTATGTGCTCTATTTCCTTTGGTTTCATTACTTTGCATAAGAGACCTGCAATGCAGATCAGAGTAGAGAATATGGTCCTGAAAATAGAACACTGCTGACCTTTTTATAAATAATTTAAATGCTCTTCATACTAACTTTAGCTCTCATTAATGTGGCTGTGTTGGAATTGTGCAAGAGAGATTGGCTCAATTCCTGATTGCAAAGGTGTGTATTAAGACAATTTCTTTACGCTGTTCCTGTTTAGTTCTGGTTAAGTATTCATTATATCAAAAATAATTGCGTATCTTGAAAACTGTTAGTAATGCTTAGTAAACCTTGGTGATGAATTTTAAATCCTCTTTTTACAAAAGTAGCACAATTTGACACCCAGCTACACAGCTAGATAGTACAATTTCACACTCTCAAGGCCGGCAGCAAAGCACAGATTCACATTTTTAAAAAAGAATATTACTCAAACATCAAAATACTGAATTATCCCCCTCACAAAGTGAAATACTTCATGTTAGCCAAACCCCTCCTAAGCACCAACACTCTGTATTGCGATAATGATCTGAAAGAGCTTACATCACATGGGATACAGGATATATGATACAGGTAATAAAGGCCGCTGTGTATAGATACAGTGTTTTGTGTTTACTGCTAGAGAGAGCGTCTTTTCCTCCCCTCTCCCCAGCACATGTATTTAAGCCTAGCCTTATTGTTGATGTTAATCCCTTTTTCATAGCTTTTAGCAAATGAAGTTGGTGAAGATGTGAATATTCAAAGTCTCTTGACCAATTCTGGCAGCTGGCGTGGACGAGCCCAGCAAATTCTTGTTCTCCAAAGCAAGGTGAGTTAAGACCCTGCATGGTGCCATGTAAGCTGGATGCTGGGGTGCTCTTTCTAAGTATAGATATTACCTCAGTTTAAGGTGAGAACAAGTCTTACAGGGAGCGGCTGAGGGAGCTGGGGTTGTTTAGCCTGGAGAAAAGGAGGCTGAGGGGAGACTTTATCGCTCTCTACAACTACCTGAAAGGAGGTTGTAGTGAGGTGGGGGTCGGTCTCTTCTCCCAAGTAACAAGCGACAGGACGAGAGGAAATGGCCTCAAGTTGCACCAGGGGAGGTTTAGATTGGATGTGAGGAAAAATTTCTTCACCGAAAGGGTTGTCAAGCATTGGAACAGGCTGCCCAGGGAAAATGGTGGAGTCACCAGCCCTGGAGGTGTTTAAAAGACGTGTAGATGCGGTGCTTAGGGACATCGTTTACTGGTGGACTTGGCAGTGTTAGGTTATCAGTTGGACTTGATGATCTTAAAGGTCTTTTCCAACCTAAACAATTCTATGATTCTATGATCTTTAACTCTTGAATCTTCTGAAGGGCACAGTCTAACTGAAATGTCAGCTTGAGACAGGGAGGCAGTTTTGTCTGCATCTTAAATAAAACTGCTCTCAGGCAATTTGATACGTATTTTTCCTGTTTTTCCTGTTTTTCTGCTGTATAGTTATATGCCAACAAACTGTGATTTTTGCACTCTGATTGACTGAAATTGTTAACCTGTAGTTTCCCTTGAGCAAATTGCATTTTCCTTCGGTTAGACGCCCTGGCTGGGATTCGTCTGAAGACTGTACATACTGTACTCTACTGTAATGTAGAGATTTCTTTTCTGAGCCAGTCTCCTTGGGCCCCTTCTGTAGTCAGTGGGGATCTTGTAAATACAGTCACTGGATCAAAAGTGAGGTAGGTGCATCTTATCTTAGAAGACACCTCCAGAACAGGGCAGAGGAACTGTGCTGTAGCAGTGCCCATTTCCTTCTACTGACTATAAAAGAAGTCTATAGTGAATAGCTGAGATGCGGGGGCTGAGTTCACTTGACCACATGTAGGTGTCTAGTGCCAGCCATAGGGTGTCCCTCTGACCTCTGGTCATCTCTCCAGAGGAGTATGGATGTCTTGCAGATCCTGTGTCATATGTGTCTCCAGTATCCCAGGGCATCTCAGACAGTCCTAGGTACCTATGTTCAGGCTAGTGAACTGTGCCTTATGTGTTTACTTTGTGGACGTCCTGGATGGTAATTCTGCTAAAGACCGAGATGCTTAAATGTATGTAGGTGAGTAGGTGTCTGCCCTTTTAGAGGAGATCTAAAGTATTATTCTGTTGCCTACACGTGTCTTTAGTGGCATTCAAGATGCTTTGGAGTGTCTGTCTGGCCTCCACACGTGGCTCCAATAAGGTACAGATCTCCCGTGTGTCTTGAGTCGCCTGTAGGTCTTGTGTCATATCTCCTCCCTGCATAGATGCCCTATTTGTTAGCAGCTAGCAAATTTAAATTTGAAAGAACAGACACTGCTCTGTGTTAGTTAACCATGATAATGTCAAGAAGTAAGTAATATGATGCTACACTCTGAGTTCCCTTAGGTTATGTGATCTTTGATGCTGGACCACTGTACTCCTGGTAAAGGCTCTAGATGAGTTGTCATTATTGTCCCCTAGGTTCGGGAGCTGGAGAATCAACTGGGTCAAAACAAGACCAGAACATCACTGAGTGAGATTGATGAGGAACTGCTGGCCCTTACGGATCCAAGGAAATTGTCAGCCCAAGAGAAGAACTTGCTGAAGATTCGCAGCTTGGAAAAAGAAAAGAAAGAAACTTTGGAGGTAAAAACCTGTGAGCTGACAGAGTCCTATTTGGGTATATAGTGTGTAATAACTTGCCTTACCTTCAGGGTGTATGTTACACCGTACCCAGAGACCACTTCAGAAACCCACCTGATCTGCTGGAGGAAGTTCTGCCACACTTCACAGATTGAGCAAAAGGCTTCCATGCTTCTTGTCTGTATTGCACTCTTGCGTGGCCAGGCATACCTCTGCAGTACAAGATTTGGTCTTCCCTCTGCTTTATGATTGATGTGTCGGACGCATCTACTTGGCCTGAAATGTGGCCACCTGGCAGCTGTGCTTGATACGTGATGTTAGAAAGAGGGAGAGAGGCCCTGGGTTGCAATTGCAGCTGGTGCTGGCTTTATACTGAAGGCATATGTAGAAAGAAGCCCTGCTACAGCTGCATCCAAGCTCTGTAGCATCCTCCTCACCCTTTGGCCAGATGTGCATTCTTCATGCATGGTTAAATACAAGCATCCCACTCACACCTCATATATCTGTGTGGCTATGGGCTTCTACATTTGAACAGAATAAAGTTAAGAATTATACCAGACATCCTCTAAGGGGCATTCCTAAAATGGGTCTTACCCTCCCTCTATCACATGTAGTTGCTACAAAAATAAACAGGCATCCAGCGTTTAGGGGTTGAGAGAGGCTATAGCTAGTGGCACATGTAGTAAACCCTGAGGTGGAAAGGATACATAGGCCTGTGTCCACAAGAAACATGGGTAGTGCAGGTCAGCTACACATATTCAGGTTAGCAAAGCACATCTCCCTGTGCTCCTTTCCTATATTTGCTTCTGGCCATCTGGCACCATCCCAGAGCTTGGTTCATCAAAAGCTCCGCTTTTCCCACCACAATTTAACCGTGCAACAGGATGAGCAATGGGGTGATACACACCTTTCACTCTTGGCCGTGAGAACGAAAGAGAAGATTTACAGGTACAGGCACACAGCACAGGGAAGACATTCCTCAAAAACTGTAATCTGCATGGTTCCACTTCTGCCTTTGTGTTTCAGGCTCCATTCACAATAACTTCCCCTGTACTTGCCCATTACTACTTAACTGCTAGCGTGCTTCCTGGACAGTTTCATCTAGGTAAAGGCATGGTGCAGGAGGCAGTGTATGCCGAGGACAGCTTCTAGTAGATAGTGTGGCATCACCACCCTGTATCTGGAAGGAAGGGAGTTTCCCTGTAGAGAATGGTGAGGCAAATGAAGAAGGGAGCATACAGAATTAGGTTTTAACACAAAATTATCATTTGCTTCCTGGCACATACTGAATCAACCTAGTCCACTTGTATTCCTGAGCGGATAGACCTTTTTTGATGCTGGCAAGCAGGCAGTGAGTAGTAGCATTTATAATTTCTACTTATTCAGGGATGATGTGATATGCCAGTTCCATTTTTTAGATTCTACCAGGCGATGTGTGATTCCTTTAGCTCACCAAAGCACCTGGGGCTTGGTGATAGGCTATAACTGTCATTTCCTATGATGTGTTTGCATCACTGCAGAAACTCACTGGGGAACATGATGCTCTCCAAAAAAGTCATGAGGAAGTGAAAAAAAAACTTGATGCATCAAAAGCCAGGAACAAAGTACTGTGCAGCGAAGTGAAAACCCTGAAGGGACAGATCGTAACCTTGCTGGAGAAAGGAAAACACGACGATGAGCTCATAGACGCCTTACTGGTACAGTCTGACTATTATTGTTGGTCCCAGCTCCTGCACATCAGCCTTCTTTCTATATGTGATGAAACATGATGTAATTTAATGACACGGTGACACAGACAACCTTAGGGTATACAGGAGCCTGATGAATCAAACTGTGACAGCCAGAGGCTTCCTAGTCAGCTAAAGCCCTTCTGCATTTTGGATCAGATCATGTAAAGGCTGCAAGACAGCACTAGGCGTTGCAGTCAAGTGGCTCTAAGCTGCGAGTATTGGAAGGAATGTTTTGCAGAAGGGTTGAAATAGGATTGTCTAGTAGGTAGAAGGGCTTCATTCCTGACCCGTGAAGCTGGACTGTATTCTCTATTCTGCTTTCAGCTCCAGTGGTAGATTTTTTTTCTTAGAATGCCTGCAATCTTGCACTTTCATGTGTTGTGTTACACAGCCCAAAACACACAAGCTGAACCGTGAGTACTAAGCCATGTGCACGCTCACTTGCAGTAGCTGGAGCTGAGAGGATTTGGCCCCTTCAAAACCAAGAGTATTAACAGAGACTCAAGATGCAGTTATGCTGAAATAAATGGCTGCTGTCATGGTCTTGCAGGATCCTTTTGTCCTGCCTTGGTTATAAATAGTCTTCCCCAATTACAATAATAAAAAAAAAAAAATTAGAAAATATGCCACTTCTTAGTAGGGTTAGTTCTGTGTTTCCTGATCAAGCTCCTCACAAGTTTCAAATCACTTATGTTTCCTTGCTTCTGCACGCAGGTTTTAGCTAAGACATGCTTATGACTAAGCTGGCATTCACCTTTCTGCACACCAGGCAGCCACGGGGAATATGAGTACTGACCAGCAGATCAGGCAGATTACAGAGGAGCCAAATAACAGTTGTCACTTTTGCTAGGTCTGAGCATTCTCACTAAAATTATTACAGAAAGATGTGAGTTTATGTGGGAAGGAATGGTTAACTTGTTTTATCCCTTACATCAAAGAAACACCTTGCTTGCAGTTTGTTGGCCCGACAGAGCAAGCTGTCCGACAAGTATTAGATTTGTCAGTGTGAGAAAAACTCCAAAACCCGCTGGTAAAACAGCCTAGCCTCATAGCTGTCATCTCATACTACCCTCGTCTTTTAGTGTCACTGTCACACGATCCGATCGTGTTATAATTTCACAAAAAGCGCATTGAAATCTTTACTTTTATCCAATTTATGAAAAAGTCATCTTCTTTGTGAAAGGCCAGCGTTTCTTGGCCTCTTTTCTGCTACACTGAGTAGCAAAGCTGCCAGCAAACTGAATCTCTCAGTTGCTCAGGTCTTTTCTACTTGCACCATCCAGTCACTAAAGTCTTGATGTGACCAGCAGGGGCCGGTGGGGACAGACTGTCCTTACCCAGCCGCATGTGTCTGGGCATTGCAAGTAGATGTGCTGGGCAGCCTTTTCAAGGGGTAGATGCTGAGAACCAGACAAGGTGATCTCACGCTTAAAACGTAACAGACCAAATTCAATTCTTGGGGTAGCACTAGTGACATCAGTGTGCTTACACTAGGGAATGGGTTTGGCAGGGCACTGCCTTGCCCTAGCATTCCTAAATGGGTATATGTCTTGGAGGGTGTAAAACACCCAGGGAGTCTCAATAATCATTGTGTACAAAATTTAATGTCTCCCTCGTTTTTATTTTATCAGAGCCAGCAGAAGCAAATGCAGGAGATCTTAAAGCACCTGAGCCAGCAGGACGAGAAGAACAAGGAGTCCCAGCAGATGCTAGGGCAGCACTTGAACAGTGAGGTTCAGAAACAAAACTGCCTTATAGAGCAGCTCAGACAGATGGTGGCTGAACGAGAAGCAAAGGTTAAAGAGCTGGAAGAGGAGATTGGGCAACTCACACTTCAGGTAGGCAGTCAGAAGAAATTAACTAGAGGAGCACACTTTGTCATCATTTTAGATCTGCTCTTCCACTTCCTTCTCCCTTGTTATCTGAGATGGTTGCTAGCTCGAGACACTAATACCTGTCCTACTGACAGTCTTTCCTGATGGAAGGATAAAGCAGGAATTCTCTCTTGTAACTCTTAAGTTTCTTTCCTGTTTGTGTGTAACTTTTCTTCAAGCTGTTTAAGCAACAGAAAACATAGAAATACCAATCACATCCACATGTGGCTTCGTGCCAAGACTGTGCCACATGACTGACAGCAAGGGTTGGGCTGCAATAGGGACTTCTCAGTATTCAGCATCCTTGGCTGCTAAAGGAAGCAAGCAAGCAAACATAGGTGAGGCCAACATCAGCAGGCTGCTGTGGTACCCAGCTACATCCCCTCATGGAGTGATGGGACCCCTAGTAAGTTATTCTCATCTCCCACTGTAAATCACTTCAAAAAATTCCTCTCCCTCAGATCTCCAAGCTATTGATATGAGCCGGATGGGTCTCAGGCATATGGAAATTTCATTGTGCAGATGAAAGAATTGGGAAGGCTGGCCCCTTGTGACTAGTATGTTAAAAATGTTTTCAACTTTTATGGTCTAGTGTTGCAAACTAACATAAGCAAAGTGGTACTATTGCCAGAGCACAGGCATGGGAATTGAGAGGCAATCCACTAACCTGCTAAAGGCTTCTTGTGTGGTCTGGTATCTTACAGTCAGGTTTTGTTAGAGTATTTAGACATCCAATTCCCATTGATACAAAACCCTCATAGGGTTATGGTGAGATTGTGAACCTGTCGGATACCTCAGTAATGGGGGCTAGAGCACTGAACCCAAAATAAAACTTGGGTTAGGGACACAAATTAACCATGCTGGCACTGGTAGTGATGGTGCTGCACTGTCGGATCTCTAGCAACGCTGTGTGCACCCTATGATTTCATAAGAAACTGTGCTTTTTACTAACTTTTGCTTTGTTTCCATCCTGCAATGGAGAGAAACTAAAGAAAAGTTTCTGAGGAGGTCCTGTAAATCAAAAGTTCTGGCATGCTTGTAGCAATAGTCGTAAGCTGCTGATTAGGCACTGAAGCAGCTATTTTCCTTTGAACTGTGTAATTGGTTTTATAACCTGCTCCAACATTAACAGAAGAAATCTGCCCATCAAGGGGACGGTTCAGGAGCTGCTGATACACCACCTTCTGAGCACTCAGAAAATCCAGGTTTTACTCTGCTTAAGCCTCTGGCATCAGGCAGCAATCAGGTTGGAAGGACTGGATCTGCTCGGTAAGAAGACCCTAATGTCAATGTTTAAAATTGTTGTGAGTTATTCAGAAGCATGGTTTTCCCAGACAATTGTATCAAACCACAAGTGCTATGTGCCAACAGCTGTGGCAGCCTGTTTACAGTATATGGGAATCTCTAATCACATTATCTCTTGGACTTTCGTCCTGGAACAGAGAAAGATATACAGACTTGCAGACATTACTACATTTGGCATGATGGTAGCGCAGCTAATTCTCTTTCTCCAGCTCAGATAATGTTTATGTGGTTAGCTTAAGTGCCTGTGATTCTTCACTCTTATGAGAAATGGGGCTTCTAATGAGCAGACTTCTGAAAGCAGGGTGGCGAATTAATATAAAATGCCATTTTAGGTAAGCACTAAATCACTGGCGCATTATTTAAATCAATAAATACGCTTTGAGAGGATTTACTTGCAGAAATGTTGAAAACACACCACATCATTTGTTCTTAACAAACACGCTTTTTAAAGCCTCACTGAGGACGATGTAAGTTACACTAATCTTAATACAGCAGTAAATCTGATTTTTATTTACACCATTGTGACTCTGGGTCACTCTGACTGTGTAAAGGGAACATAATACCAGAGCAAGTTATATCCTTTCCTGTTAAAATGCTGGTTTTGTTGCTAAAGAGTTCATGATCTAAGTGTCAATGAGGATTTGAGAGTGGTCTTCTGAGGAAGGAGGAAATTTTTCATCAAGTTAAAGTTGCAACTGATTTCTTCTATGTAATTTTAACTTGCCTACCACATTACTTTAGACACTGAATTTGGCTTTAAAATTGTCAGATGTATCCCTGAGTCTAAGTAGGGCATTACTACAAAATTTAAGAAAAGTTCTTCTCAGTGTTTTCAAGTTAGGGTTAAAACATCCTTAATTTGAAAGCTTCCGCATCTCCATTGTTATACCCTTCTGACTGACTTTATTCTCCCACCTCTAATTCTGCAGAAGTTGTGCTCTCATGGAGCAAATCTATATTTTATCCACTTTTTTACTCATATGCATGCTGATGGTAAGCAGGAAGGCAAGCAGGAAGGCGAGGCTGGGTAATGGCTTTGTAGAAGCCACTAAGTGCAATGCATAAATTATTGCTTGTATATGTGGCTAACATAGCTCCGTCATGAAAATAGCTGACATGTCAGGTGGGCGATGGATGAGTCTGAAAACTGCAAGAGCAGTTAATAACTTGGTCAGCAGAGCTCGCTCATTCCATTAACTTTAATATGTTGATGAACTCTCTATTCCGTTTTACTTTAGTGAATCATCTTTTCCTATCAGGAAAGATGAAATGAAAAATGCTATAAATAGGAACGAAAGCCCCTTGGAGATGTCAAAGTAAAATTCTGCATTGTTAGACTGGGCCACTTCTGTCATTATCAACCTTAACTCGATTTTAGGATTAACCACTCCTAGCCTAGAAGGCAGCTCTGCCTGTTCCACAGCATTAAGGCTTTATCCTCTGTTAGCTGCAGCCTAAAGACAAAGAAACATGGGCTAAGTCTACGGGGACTTGCTTTAGGCAGCTGAGCTCAAGTTCGGAAAACACACACACTGGAATTTTATGTCCCAGGCACATATATCATTATGCATAAAACTCATCCAGACTGGAAGTGATACTCTAGTGTTATCAGTTGACTCCTCCTCTTACAACAGTAAACCTGACAGATCTTCCTGAGGGTGTCCACAAAGTAGAAGGGTTCAGAAAACTATATAAAGTATATTTTTAAAAGGCATTTGGAAATAAAGGTTGTGCACCCTGTTGCAGAACAGGGGTTCATTTGGTTAGGAAAGCATGCAACATGCCAAGACCATCAAACAAGCACAGTAACCTGTGCTTGTCTTTCACCCTAGTGGGTGAAGGTGTAAGGTGAGAGTGCTCTGTGAAGGTTCCAAGGCAGTGTCTGCGAGGAAACAGAGAAGCAGTGGCTGCTTATGTGGCTGCGTGCTCAGCTTGAGCCAAGCACGGTCGAGAGCTATTCCTGCTCACGAGTTGCTGTGTGGCTACTCTGTGACACGGGGCTCCACAATGCTGGTCTGGAGTGCCAGCAAGGTATCCCCAGAAGCACAGAGATCAAACAACTGAGCTATAGTTTTCGCATAACGGAGACACAAGGTGTTTTTGCAGCGTGTTTTGGAGCCGGGGAGCAAGCTGAGTTATTGTGTGTGCAGAGCCTGTGTGAGACCCACTTAGAAGGCTCTGGGAGTCTTT